AAAAGCTTCGTAAGCAAGATCGTGCGATAGGAGGAGCGCGTGCCTGACAAAATGTGTAGCATCGCCGATGAAGGTAATAAGGTAGTTTAAGTTTGCTTGTCCTTCTTGCCGTGGTATCACCAAGATGTCACTATAAATTTCTTGAGTGGCTTGAATGCAAGTGCGATGGGGTTGTGATGTGACGGAAACATTTGTCGGGGTAGATCAGCTTTAGGACATAGCGTGCAGATATGGCGAGGTTGGAGCAGCTCTTTTCCATCGAGAGGAAGAAGGGCGTCTTTGTCAAGAACTCCGGCACCGATTGCGTTGTAAGTAGTTTTTCCACTTAAATGTCTTAACCTCTTATGCCATATGTCTTCTAAAGTTGCATTTCCTGCTGTTCGACGATATAGATTGGAGTTCGCGTAGCAAAGTTTGCCAGACTCCGATGTGAGGCGTCGATCACGGTAGCACGTTGAGTATAATGAAGAAGTGTCAACGATAAGAGGAACTATTGAATGTGATGAAGTTGAAGGTAAAAATGGTTGCTGTGTCTTTTCGGATTCTCCAGTGGTACTCATACACTCTACTTCTGCTCGTGATGTTCCAGGTGTGCGTACTTCAAATGCGATCGGCGTAACATTTTCTCGGTGAAACCCAAGATGATCCGGCTCGGGATTGAGTTTCTTTGGATGACAGTCTGTCCAAGAACCAAGGCAAGGATTCTGTCGCTATCTGCTAAAGTCCCATCTCGTTCCACGTTGAGTACAAAAAATCCATCTTGTTGTATTGCTTTTGCGATGTAGAAGCCTCCCTTTGTTGAATATAGCTTTATTTCTCTGTTGTCACTGTCGCATTCCAGGTGTACTGCACGTCCCATCAATTGACTAACACTGAGAAGATTATAGCCGAAGCCGGGCACGATGAGATCGTTGGAGAGTTGTATGATTGTGTTTGTCTCAGGCGACTGAAGAAGATATTTCCCTTGGTGTTGAATACGTAGTGTTTGGTTGTTGGAGACTGTAACTGAAACCTCTTGATGTAACCCGTAATTAATCCCTGACGTGCACATGTGTTGTGCACAACAGCTGTCAAGAAGCGAAATACTCGGACCGTATTCTGCTGTAGCTGCGACGCTAGCATGCTACGTGTTGACTTGAAGATTCGTCAGAAGTGCTTCTAAACCCTCCGGTGCGAGGGTTGGAGGTGAGCCTGGTACACATGAATATGTTCGTGTTATCCAAGCTTGTACGTTCCTCCCTTTTGCTGGTACTCACATAGTCTGTGTTTTACTTTGTGCAGTTGATGCGATAGCAGCGACAACCTGTGGAGAAGCAGCAGCTGGGCGTTGAGGAAATGTCTGTTGACGCTGAGGACAATGATTGCGAGAATGTTCAGAGGTTTTGTAGTTGTGACAGAAAGGAGTTACATTGTACTGCTGCTGCTGTTGTTGCTGTTTTTGCTGCTGCTGAAAATGTTTCTGTCGTTGCTAATTCGGTGCCCCTACTTGATTGTGTGTTATGAAAGCAAACTGATTTTTTTTTTTCTGCTTTTGCTTTTGCTGTTCGGCAAGAAGTGTTGCATAGAGGTGCATCTCCGGGGCGTTTCCTTGTGTACGGAGAAGAGATCACGTTTGACGACACTGAGGTCCAAGTCCTGCAATAACAACTGTCACGAACATCGTTTTAGGGATTTCCTACTGCTTCGATTGAACTGTTCACGTAGCTCTCTGCATCTATTGATAGACTACATCGCATGCTCTCCAGCCTTCATCTGCATGTTGTTCAATTGTGAGATGAGTCTGCTTTGTGTTACACAGTCACTTGCTTGATAAGCCGCTTCAAATGTTGCCATGCTAACTCCGCTGAGTTTGCAAATTCTCTATATGACCTGGTGCCTTGCTGTTCTGTCAGTGACAGATTACGAAGAAGAATCATGTAAATGTCATCATTGACTGAAAGGCGAAACCGCGTTGTTCGTCCGGAGTACCATTAACAGGAAACTGGATTTCTCCACTGAAGTATTCCCATATCCGTGCTGCTTCCATCATGAGTTCAAACTCAAAACTCCTCGCGATGAAGTCCTTTCCGTCGAAGGGTCTTGAAGTCTGAAACTTCAAGATGTTTACCATTTGTGCTTGATAGTTTGTTGCATCTCTCACTCCGTCTTGTTGTTATCGCTGTTGCGCAGGTGCACCATGAGGCACGAATGCGTAGGTGGTCTGCGGCTGCTGTCGAGGCGGAGCACGGTAAGACACTGGTTGTTGCCGTATGTATGAAGTTCTGTCGACACTCATAAGTGTCGTTCTCATGTCCACTGCTGATGATGCTTGTTGAACTTGCTGTGTCTGGGGTGTTGATGCCATGAATGCTGACATGGCTTGATAAAATTTTTGTATCACAGGATCGAGACCTGCTATACCATCTCCTGTTTTAGCGCTGAACGCGAAGGACTGGGACGATCTTCCTACGCCTCCTCATCCATTTGCAGATGTGGCTGTTGGAGCAGGGCTAGCAAAGGTTAATCCACAAAAACCAGAGCCAGGTAGTGGTGGTGCAGTGGGCTGCTGCGAACTACCACCTCCACTTTGCAAGTGGGGTTTACCGTTGCTGATGTCACTCATGCCTGTAAGATAGCCCTACTATTGAAAACTGTAGTAACTGAGAATAGTGGAAACTAGGAGGTCGTAAACTCTCCTGCTACCATGTTGGGCTGAGAAAAGCCCTTAGGATCTTTTAGAGTTTAGTCTTTGTAAATTAATGCAGTGGAAGACTTGAGTTTCTGTGCTATTTTAGTGTGAGAACAAGAATAAATATTGAAAGAAAGACACAAGATTTTTATAGTCTAAGAACCTATTCAAATATGTACCTATTCGTGAAAAGAGATTATTGTCGAGTCGATTTCTAAAAAGGTACTTTCTGGGGTCTCATGACTGTTCGCGCTATTGCCTGTAACTCTCACGAAGGGACACATGCTATAGTAACATATACATTTAGTGATACTACAATATTACTGCGACGTTATCGAAGTATTGAATTGTATAAGTAAAAATAGTTCTCCCAACATTAGGAAAATATGCCTGAGACGTTTTTCTTTAGCCCCAAAAAATCACATTTTTTTTGTTTTTTTTTTTTTTTGTCAGCCCTAGCAAAGAAGTAGCTAAGTTGAAAGTTAAATGAGAATTGGTTGATATTGGCGACTACAAGCAAGGATAGTACCGTAATCACTCGGACATAACATCCTAGGGTGTAACTAAAAATACAGGGGGGAAATTGGGGGGGGGGGGGGGGGGGAAGGGGGTCTTCTCATAGGAAAAGGCCACATAATATCCGGGTGGATATATATGGCATATTTTAGTGTAACTTTTTTTAATGTTATACAACTTGGGTGTTTCCACGGTCGTTTGAAAGGGAGCAGGCAAAATAATGACCCCCAGTTCTAGTTGGAGCTGCAACACATGTTTCAAGTTTGGACTGGGTTCACTATTTTGCCGACTCGCTTTAACATCACACGTTGAGGCGCGAATGTGAGTTTCGACGAGAACTTCATCACCCCCTTGAAAATGCCATGTGGCACCTCTCTAGCCACTTGCAGCGGAAGATTCGCCAGCGTGGCGACAACGAAATAGTGGGAGGGGGGAAATATCAGCAGGTTCTAAGTGAAAGTACCGCAAAATTTCATCGAGGCAGAGATTCTTGCAATATCCTCCAGTACTTGTACCTGCTCGTTAACAGCTATAATAAGGAATCTGTAAGAAAAAGGGGGTGTTATAAAAAATCACCCAAAAGGGGGGTACAAGAGAAACGAGGTTGCTTAGGGCGTGTTCCTACGGCCCCTTATCAGGCCAACCTCTTATCACGCTCGCAAAAAATCACACTGAAATTCGCACGAACCCTAAATCCTTCGCGTATTTTATCAGGCAAGTTTCGTAAGAGGTGGCTGATAAGGGGTCGTAGGAGCACGCCCTTGTAACACCCACCCCCCATAAGCTACCCGGGGGTCTTTAATCTCGGCGGGTGTTTTGTGCGGGTGATTACGGTATAGCATGCAACAACGAATGTTGGGAAGTAGTCGATAGGAGTAGGAATTGGAAAGAAAGAAAACTAGAGTGCCACGTGGTGAATAGGAAATCTTGGAAATCCTCAAGAGATTGGATGAAGATAAGGTTGGGATGAGTTTGGGGGCATTGTTTACGGTAAATACCCATGAACTGTAAAATATCCCGTAACTTGGCACTTCTCAAACAATGTACATTTCCAGTTACATTCTTGTACTCGAGAAAGCTCTTCACTTAATTAACAATTCTTTTGTTATCGCTACCATATGCGGAAACAGCTGCACTCAATCATTACTAGTGCATTGCCCACCACCCTTTGTACATGTGTGTGCGTAATACTTGCCAAAAATATAATCAAGAACCACTAGGAGCATCTGTTGGCGTGCAGCTCCATTGCCTGCAAATTCATATCCACCACCTATTGGGCATGCATGCCTGATGATGTGCTTGGTTCACACATCCACATTGAAACCTCATCCACCACCACAGCCTAATGCAAACGGCACACCCTCCCAAAATCCTGCCTTTGATCATCCAATGAGTGAAGAAGAGGAAAAGGTTGAGGTCCCTAATGCCACCCCTATCACATCAGCACCACCACAGTCTGCTCTGGCACGGATGCCGGTGCACAAACTGAATAAGGCTCGGACTGTGGCTGACAAGGTAGCTCATGAAGGCATCCTGGTCCTCGTTGCCCATTTTTCCCAACCATTTTTCAATTGGGCAAGAGAAGGCCAGGCGGATGGCAGGACCCTTTTTTTCTGCTGTTCACTCGGAGAATTGGGGGTGACTGCTGCTGCTGCTGCTGCTGCTGCGGCAGCTGCTGCTACTGGGGATCGTGCTGCTGATTGTGCGGCTGCTGCTGCTGAAATTGCTGCTGATAGTGATGTTCAACAGGGGCAGAGGGACCAGACATGCCAACAGCAGTGAAGCGCATGTCACCGTGCCACGGCACGTCCATGGCTTATGCCCCGGGTGTGTCAAACGGGTTTGCATCGCTCAAGCCCATGGCCTCTGTGCTCCATGCGCTTGCAGAATGGTCCCATGGTGCCTGCACTGCTGTGTTACCATGGGGCTCATCCCATGGAGGGCCCAACACTGCTTCATGCACATGTTGCCGCTGATTCATACCAAGCAGCAGCCCTCCAGTTTGCATGATAGCATCAAGCATCTCATTCTGCACTGCATCATATGGAGACGCCTCATGCTCTCCTGGGGGATGTTCCTTATCTCCATGGTCTGCGTGGTCTGGCAGCCCGGGAAACATCGACTCCAATGCAGCCACCACGTGTTGAGCCCCTTCACTCAGCTGACCCTCTTGGAAAGAGTCGTCCCACGAAAAGTGTGATGCTGAAGAAGGATGTGGTGCAAGCAGCTCGAAAGCTTTGCTGGTCTCTCCTTCCTCCAATACTGGCTGAGGGGAAATACTGCAGTCAATGTGCCTGCTGCTGCCGCTGCCACTGCCACTGCCGCTGCTGCTGCAGCCACTGCTGCTACTGCCGCCGCTGTCACTGCTGCCACTAGCCATGGCGGTTGCGTCCACTCGCACCACTGTTTGACTTGACATGCCTTGCTGTGGGGGGCTGCTGCGGTGAGCCATGGCTGCGGAGAGGGGCATGGCAGCAGTGATGGCCCACGAATGCAGCGGGTGTGAGGAGGCAGGAATATGCGGGAGTGAATTCTCATCCTGCATGGACTGCTTCTGGGGCACCATTTCTGGTTGCTGTTGTTGCTGCTGCTGCACGTGCTGCTGCTGCTGCTGCTGCTGCTGCTGCTGCTGCTGCTGCTGCTGCTGCTGCTGCTGCTGCTGCTGCTGCTGCTGCTGCTGCTGCTGCTGCTGCTGCTGCTGCTGCTGCTGCTGCTGCTGCTGCTGCTGCTGCTGCTGCTGCTGCTGCTGCTGCTGCTGCTGCTGCTGCTGCTGCTGCTGCTGCTGCTGCTGCTGCTGCTGCTGCTGCTGCTGCTGCTGCTGCTGCTGCTGCTGCTGCTGCTGCTGCTGCTGCTGCTGCTGCTGCTGCTGCTGCTGCTGCTGCTGCTGCTGCTGCTGCTGCTGCTGCTGCTGCTGCTGCTGCTGCTGCTGCTGCTGCTGCTGCTGCTGCTGCTGCTGCTGCTGCTGCTGCTGCTGCTGCTGCTGCTGCTGCTGCTGCTGCTGCTGCTGCTGCTGCTGCTGCTGCTGCTGCTGCTGCTGCTGCTGCTGCTGCTGCTGCTGCTGCTGCTGCTGCTGCTGCTGCTGCTGCTGCTGCTGCTGCTGCTGCTGCTGCTGCTGCTGCTGCTGCTGCTGCTGCTGCTGCTGCTGCTGCTGCTGCTGCTGCTGCTGCTGCTGCTGCTGCTGCTGCTGCTGCTGCTGCTGCTGCTGCTGCTGCTGCTGCTGCTGCTGCTGCTGCTGCTGCTGCTGCTGCTGCTGCTGCTGCTGCTGCTGCTGCTGCTGCTGCTGCTGCTGCTGCTGCTGCTGCTGCTGCTGCTGCTGCTGCTGCTGCTGCTGCTGCTGCTGCTGCTGCTGCTGCTGCTGCTGCTGCTGCTGCTGCTGCTGCTGCTGCTGCTGCTGCTGCTGCTGCTGCTGCTGCTGCTGCTGCCACCGCTGCTGCTGCTGCTGCTGCTGCTGCCACCACAATTCGCCCTGCTTCTGTGGTGACTGCATCCGCGGAGTCGAAAATTGTAGTTGTGATTGAAGTGGGTGTGGTGACTGGAAATAGAAATCCAGATCTTCAATGCGAAATTCTCCGTCGGGCCTGATTTCAGTTTCAGGGTCGGTATTCTCCGTATGCACTATTCCTTGACCAAGCACAGCCTCTAAACCTCCCCTGTTCACCTCTTCCGGAAGAAATTCCTCCTGCCCGCATTCCTGCTTCACGTTGCCATCACCAGCGTCAGCACCAGCAGCACCAACCAGCATGCCTTCGATGCCCTTTGCGAAACGCCAGCCAGCATTCTCCAAGCCTGCAGAGCACGGCTCTCCAGGGAGGAACATGGCCGGAGGGATGGAGAGGATGGATGCAGGCGCGGAGGCAGACGAGGTGGAAGGGCCAGCTCTGCTCGAACTGCTTCCACTGGCAGTGCTGCTATCTGCGCATGTCGTCAACCCAACCACGTCCGTGTCCGATATTGCATGTGCTGCCACTACAGCTTTGCAATCTGCTGCCTGTGCAACCATTGCAATTTCCTCGCCATAAGCACTTCCCCAGACTCCGGTTTCACCCAATCGCCCAGCTGCCGCCTCATTCTCTGCAACTGGCTTTCCATGCATGGCCTGCTCGGCACACCTCCTCACCTCCAGAGTAGTTTCCATAACCTTCACTGCAGAGGCCTCCCCAATTCCCTTAGACGCTTGTGCTGCAAGCTCCAGGCCCGCGTCTCCTTCTCTGCCCGGCATGAGCTCAGGAAAGTTGAGCTTCGTCTTCCTCCCCCGAATCTGCACTGCAGCCCGATCAAACGCCAGGGCAGCTTCCTCTGCAGTGGCAAACGTCCCCAACCACTTGCGCACACCGAATGTTGTGTCCTTAATTTCAGCGATATACCGACCTTCGCCTCGCTTCCTCACCCCGCGGTACTTTCCTGGTTGGGTATAGTTACGGCTGCGTGTGGTGCGCTTGCGTGTAGACTCCGGAGGGGATTGGTTTGCGATATCTTTTGTGACGCCTGGCGACTGTCCCTGCAGTAGCGGCTGTAGCTGCGCCGACAGTTGCTCCAACCTGACCTGCCCTTGTGGCTGCTGCACCGGCTGAGGCTCCAATTTTAGCTGTGGCTCCTGCTGTTGAGTCTGGTTCAGAAGCAGGTCTTGTACCCATTGAACTTGAGGCTGGAATGGCAAGTCCGCTTTTGGAACTGAAGCCAAAGCTGATATTTCAGGGACATCCTTGGACTGCTGTGCCAGCTGCGGGTAAGTCCATGACTGCATGGGAGATTGTAGCTGCTGGCCAAACTGGGCACCTCCCAAGGGTTTGGAAAGCAGCCGATGTATGTGCCCCTGGACTTGCCCCTGCTGATGCTGCTGCAGCTTCCCGTGCCGCCCCTGCCAGGGGCAGTGCCCCTGCCCCTGCCCCTGCCCCTGCCCCTGCCCCTGCCCTTTCCGCTGCTGTTCTTGCTGCTGCTCTTGCATCTGCATCGTCTCTTGCTGCGGATGCCCCTGCCCCTCCTGCTCCGGCTGCTTCTCCTGCTGCCGCCCCACCTGTCTCCACTTCGAACCCCAAGGAGTCGCACAGACTGGTGTCGCTGGTATTGCGGCCTTCATGCTAACATTGAACGCTAGCAGAGAGCTTGCCTCCTTGATCTGACGCGCGCGAGCCTCCAATGACCATGACGGTGCTGCTGGATCGCTTGTGAGTTGTTGGCCCGCGAGCCCCTCTGGCCGCGCGCGCGGCATCGCTGGCCCTCCAACCACTTTATTTGGGCGCTGCCCGTCGGCGTGGCCAGGCCGCGTTGGCGGCTTCTCGTCCATCTGCTGCGTCGGCGTTGCCAGATTACCGACTATGATAACATGATCAGTGGCACCAATTTTTTGAGACGGAAAATGATGTCTCGGCACGTAATCATGACATATATTCAATTTCGAAGCTGTCCTTTACGCCCCGAAGCCTGTGCAGGAGTTATTGCTGGCGACGCGACGTTGAGTGCTAACGAGCGCTACTAGCTCGAAAGCAGTCACGGTGATGAGAGCAGTGATCGCGCTTCGTCAAAGATGTGTGCGAGAAAGAGCAGATGCTGGTGACAAAAGTAGGAAAGTCGTGTCTCCCAAACCGCGTTTAACCCAGTGAAAGTACCCCCCAGTCAAAACCGTGTTGACTAGTAGTAGCTCTTGAGCATATGGTGATGGATCACAGATTGGCCTTCTCGTGTGGGGGAAGGGTTTCAGAGAAGGATGGTTGAGGGGGTGTGTTGTGCCTCCACAGCGGGATTCAGCATGGCAGGGTGTTTTACCCTGTTTGGCCACATTTCAGAGTGAGATCTGTACACCACCCCAAAGATACAGCATTTGCGAACTAAATCTCTCGTCTTGATAGGCTACAACATAAAGGGTATGCGTCTGGAACACTGCGGGGCAGAGAACTACAGTAGTACTGGTTCGCCCAGGACCCCAACACCATCCAGATCAATGCGTGCCTGTTCGTTCTTGTGGTAATTTCTTTGCTTCATTTCCCAAACCAAAGCAGGAAATTATATCTAGCCTAATTCTTAAAACCGGAGGGCCACGAAGGCCCAAATTGCCTCAAGCTTCCTAACCTTGGTTGAGTTTGGCCCTCGCACCCAAAATCTTGGCCAATTGTGTTGCTCGGGTGACTTACGGTAACAAAAAGGAACCTCTCAAGTGGAGGGTGGCCTCACCTCGCTCCCACCAAAACCTGTGTTTACACGTGTCCACTATGTGCCATTTTGCCAGTATGCGCCACTATCCCACCAGGCGAGGAAGTGTGAGCTTCAGTGTGTTGCCTCTTCGCAAGGCCCCGGATTCATGGCCGTTTCATGGCCCGTCACAAATAACCTGACAGGTACCTGCTGTATGATCGGATTGGGTAGAAGGATTTCAACGGCAAAAGTCAAACGGTTCATGACCAATCAGAAGGTCGAACAGTCATCACTTGCAGTAGGACAAGCAGGCATGTCGCTACAAGGGCATTTGCCCATTTTGCCCTTGAATTCAAGTATTTGTCTGAGCCCAACTCAGAGAATTCAAGTGCTGGCTTTGAGGTCAGCCCGTTTGGTTAAGGGCTGGTTTAGCCCCTAACCCAGATTTCACGTATCCATCACAGCCCTCCCCAACCCCCTACCCCCACGTCCCTCATTACCCGCTTACGTATCCCATCCTCACCCAATCACGCCCCCGCTGCATTGTAGATCAGCTTATGTATCTACTACGTACCGCAGCCCTTAGGTGTATTTGAACATCAACCTACTTTCACGAACGATGTGTTTCCACTCAAGTGCAGAATGATGTGTAGCCCTGAATTCAAGTGCGGAAATTTGACTCAACCCGGAAAATTAAGGGCTGAAATTTTGAGCCCAGGGCAAGCGACAGCCCTGAGCACAAGTCCCCATCCACGGAGTTTTCTGGTGAGACTGTGAATCACACAACGGGCAAGAAAAAACTGCAAACTACAGCGCGAACAAACCAAACGGTTTGGTGTGTCGTCGTCGCCACCACATCGGTGAAGACAGAGCAACTGTACTGTACCGCGCACCATCACTATACTGTACAGTAGACCGAAAATTACCAGTACAGTAAAGAAAGAAGTGGCAACATGTTCAGCACGTGGGCCGATCAGAAAACGAACAGCGCGGGGTGCACCTGCCCGCCTTTGATGTACGTGTACAGTGAACTTCACTGTACAGCTCAGAAAACAGTGCAGTATTGTCATGAATTCTCTTTTGGGTTTTCAGTTGACAACGCACGGTTTTCGAAACTGCACGCCAAATGCGCAGTTTCATCGCTTCTGGGGCAGGGTTACTGCCCGTTTTTCGTTTACAGCGCAGAGTTTGTGCGATTTCTACGCAGCTCGACGCTCATTCGTCTAAATATCCGAAAACGACAAGCCTGCAATGTAACAGAAAATTTATTTAACTCAGTCAGGTGTTTCAAAATTTTCACGCCCATATAGAGAGTGCATCAATCCTAAACATCCAGTCGCGTGGAGTTTAGGGTTGATGCTCCCTCGACGGCAGCCATTAAAAAAATATATATTTATAAAAATCGTGACAAAGGGAATCAGCCCTGAACACTATGTTTAGGGTTGATGCTCCCTAAACACTTCCGCCCGGTGTTTAGGGTTGATGCTCCCTAAACACCCCGCCCGGTGTTTAGGGTTGATGCTCCCTGAACAGCATGCCATCCGAGAGGGTAATATATTTTCGTCTGCCCAAAATTCAGGTGCAAACAGTTCGATGGCCGTCAATCCAACCGGAGTTGTCGGTCCGTCAACATTTTGACCAATGAAATCTTTACTGCGTAGAAATCTCACTAACTATGCGCTGTGATCGAAAACTGGGCACTAACAGTGCGCCAGAAGCGACAATGCTGCGCTTTTTTCGTATATTTTCAGTAACAGTGCGGGATTAACTAAAAACCCTTCTCTTTTGGTACACTGCACGACAGAGGAGTTTGAAAGGTCACAATCACCACCACTCTCAGGGGAAACCCAATTCACAATTGTTCGATTCACAATTGTTTTAGGGGAGAGTTGTGAAAACAATTTTAAAGAAACTTTTGAAACACACCCCCACCCCCAAAACTAATTTCCTTCACAAGCGCCAAAGTGTCCCTCGTCATTCCTGTAAAGTACGGAACAATGTGGATACCCAAATCAGGTAGTGTAGAGGGAGGGAAACCTCTCTGTGTGACCCACACCTGGCTGTCAGTCGTAACCCGCCTCACCCCTGGCTGGGTGAACGAGGTTGGGGTGCACCCTGTTTCTCGATGTGCAGTACCAAGGTGAGCACATGCATGAGAAGAGGACCACAAATGCTTATAACTATTGCCGCTGAGGACCACAAATGATCTTGCTTAAGATCCCGTGGCAAAAGAAACGCACCACGGGCTCTTGTGGCACTACTTACAAAACCCCTCACAACACATGATGGCAGGGAAGGTACCACCGTAATACCGGTATCAGCAGCACCGCCGGCAGAGGCCTGGTTTGTCTGGGCACGTTGCCGGCAGTGAGAACTTTTGATCCTCATGGGCAGATATTATTTTCAAGAAGAAACATTAGCATCGAAGACTGGTTATTGGAGGCATAGCATTCAGCGTGAAATTGTATAAATTCACAGGCAGTGTAGTTTATCACTGTGTTATGCAAAAGGTAAACAGAAAATCAAGCTCAGTGAAGCGGCACAATCATAACGGCTGGCCTTTGCCTTAATAAAGCCACAACTGTCCACGAGGCGAGCTTGGCGGGATGCCCAGAACCGTCCAGCAAAGTCGAGTCGAGAAGATACGTTTGTTCAGCACAGGGAGAACAATCTTCAAATAATCAACCATAAAAAACAAATTTCTAAGAGTCCATTACAACGACAGGTACCGCCTGTATACCAAGTTCAGATCACACTGTTGTAAGACACGTTTTTCATGTACAGAATTTACGTAAGTAATATTGGAAAAAATTTTGGGTAAACGAAGATTCCAGCCAGCTGAGGCGGCATAATCATACCAGCCGGCCATTGCCGGCGTAAACACATCCGTCCACGAAGGGAGTTTGGCGGGATGCCCAGACCAGAACCGTCCAGTATCGTCTACGTTTGTCAGCACACGGAAAACAAACATCAAATTATCAGCTATAGAATATGCTTTCATAAGAGTCAGTTACAATACCAGATACCAGTAGTGTACCAGATTTAGACTGCTTACGCTATATCTCACTTCTTTAAGTCACACTTTTGATGTACAGTATATATGTGAATACTATTAGACAAAAAAAGGATTCTTTGGATGCTTTGAAATATATATATATGTATATATATATATAACAAATTCTCCGTGGATATGCTTTCATATTACATCTTATAACTGAAGTACACAGCACACAAAGGCAATCATAAATCACAAATCACTCTGACCTGGTTGGCTAGGTAGTAATCCGACCAGTTTGAACTTCTGTAGAAAGGGTGATTCTCGTCGATAGAATTTAGCATTGTCTTTTTGCACGGATGCATCTGTAAGAGGTACCGGTAACAACACTGCAATATCAGCAGCATTTTTTTTTTTGGAGCAACCTATTACTATTGTTATGTATAAATTTTTTTCCAAATCCTTAAAAAAAAAAGATGAAGGAAACTGTCAAATATTATAGCCTGTAGTGGGTTGGGCTATATGGGGTACAACTAGTTAGGGTTAGGTTATGTACCCCAATTCTGTCAATGCAACACATTCCGCTGTAGTTCTCATTCAGACATGGTATCA